AGTGTTGCTGGAATCTGAGTGCTTGGCGCGAGCCCTGAGCTCTGCCAACGGGCCAAACGGGTCGAGCCAATGGACGATGCATTGATACGGAGACACCTCAAGTGGTGGGACCCGGCCAACGTCCCGCACGACAGCCGCTCAGTTCCTCAAGAGTACGTGTTCCTCAAGCTAACAGAAACATGTCCGGTACCGAGGCGATGAAAGGGCTAGAGAGAAGATTTGAATTGTTCAGACTGCCCAGCAGCTCTTGGCACACGGCACACGGCACACGGCACACGACGGCACACGGCCCAGAAAATAAGGAACAAGGAGTCGATCAACCGGCCACCGACAGACCCGCTGCATAACTCGGCTTAAAAGTCAGACACGCGGCCCTTGCGTTCCCAGTCACCATAGCGGGTGGGCTCGGGGCCCTTGGGACCGTTGTACTCACGCGGCATGTCTGACTGTGAGTTGTCTGACGCGGGCTTGGGCTCCGACGCTTCGGCGTCTGGCGTGTCAGCAGCCTGCTCTGGCTCGGTCGGTGTGGCCCCGGGCTCGTGGCGGGCCAGAGGCGCGGCCGCATGCACGCCGCGCTGCGTAATGAGACTGCCCGGACGCACCAAGGCACGTTGCCACCCCTGCATGACCACCCGAGCTGCTGCCATTTTGGCGTAGTACTGACACCCAAGTTGTTGTTCAAGACCTGCCAACCACAAACATTCATAAGCCACCCCGTTCAACAGGCCACAAGACCCAGCGCCCGGCCGCCCGTTCCTCCACACCCCCTGACACGGCAGGATACCGAGAGGACCAGCACCAGCGAGCACAGCCGAGACCGACCGACCGACCGACCGACCGAGAGAGAGGGAGAGAGAGAGAGAGAGAGAGAGAGAGAGAGAGAGAGAGAGAGAGAGAGAGAGAGAGAGAGAGAGAGAGAGAGAGAGAGAGAGAGAGAGAGAGAGAGAGAGAGAGAGAGAGAGAGAGAGGAGAGAGACAGGGTTTGAGAGTGAGAGAGAGAAACGAACTGCAATGCAGAGGTAGAGACAGACACAAGTTGAAGACAAATTGAAGAGACAAAGACGGGGAGAGTCATTCAATGGCAAAGATTAAGTTGGATTTAAGGCAGAGGCAGAGATACAGATGGAGGCACGGTCCATGTCAGAGAAAAGGCCCGCGAAAGATCGCGTCACAAGCAGCTTGTCTACATACTCACACCATTTCCTTCTTTTCTACTACATTTACAACCACTCTGTTTGTTATCAAATCTGCATCATCCCCCATTTTAGATTCATCTTCTCCATCAACACACAAAATAAATGCGGACGACGATTCGGTAAAAAAAAAAAAAAAAAAAAATATGGTGCAGCGGTGGTGCAGGGCCATGTGGCGTGAATGGACCGTGGCGACTCGCCCGCTTCCCAACCCAGACTGGTTGGTGCTGTTTGATGTGCTGGAGTCCTTGTGTTCGATGGTGGTGGGGGTGAGGGTGTTTGGCGCGCTGGATTGTGCCAAATGCACCGACTCTCCTCTGCGTGCCCGCTGGTTTGATCTCGGCCGTCTCATCAATGTGTGCGCTTGATGCGTCGTTTCCCTCAAAGGTACAAGCCCCCAACCACATGGAGCAACCTGACTTGGGCACAGCGGCGAGCCGTGCTTCAGAAGGCCGTTCAAACGTACCTCGACACCTGGCGCGATGATGGTAAATCCCCCCCCACCTCAGAGACCCGTGCCCACGGTTGTGCGCGCGCACATCGTGCGCCCCTTGCTCCCCGCTGGCTTCCCGTGCCACATCGCCCCTTCAGCTCCCACGCTCTTACCTTCTGGCTCATTTTCCTCTCCTCGCCATGCATGGGTTTGCACAACAGAAAAGGAAAGCGAGGTCGGCGCCGAGCAGCGTGCCGCCGTGCAAGAGATTCGCGCGCACAGTTCAGCCCTCTATGTGTGTCCAGCCTCGACCATGCGGTCTCACCGAGGATTGCTTGCCTGGCATTGCAGCTCATCTTCTTGGCGTCTCACACCCGCTTCTGTAGGCCTCGGGTAAGGAGAGCAGCCAGTCCATCTTGACCGAGCTCATCACCATTTACAAGCAAAGTATTACCGAATTTGTTCAAGGTATGCACGAGCAGATGCACTGGACTTCTCCCCGTGTCTCGGCAAATCCTCGTGCCTTCCACCAACCCACCCTCTCACCTTTGCACGCGATGACTCTTCCTGCCCCTCTTAGGCTACAAAGCAGCCGTGTCCTCACCCGTAAAAAACCCCACCACCCTCATGGACCAGTTTATCGCCCGGCACGACCAATCGGCCTCGGCCTCCACAAACCAACCGCCACCCCAACCCCAACCACAACCACAGCAACAGCAACAACAACAACAACAACAACAACCATAGAAGCGCCAAGTCTATCGCGTCTGACCCAACATAAGGATGCTGCGCATCACGCCCTCAGGCCGCCCAATTCAATCAACCCTAACCCTATCACCCTCGAAGCTTGCTCCCTTCTCGGCTTGAGCGCTCCCTATTCCTGTCACCACTGCCTCGGTTTCATTGCACTGGGTGGTTCTTGGTGGCTTCAGCACGGTCTCAATTTGGAAAGCGTCTGGAGAGAACAAAAGGGGTCAGATACCTCTGCATAAAGGAGAGCAAAAAAGACAAAAGATACAAACGAACGAGTCAAAGAAAGCGAGAAAACAAAAAGAAAACAAAAAGTCTACTGCGACAGTTTGTACATCGCGGGCCAAACCCGGGTGCAAGTCTGAGAGACGCGTTTACTTGGTCGTCTTCTTCTGCTTCTTGTTGCGGCGGTTAAAGTCCTCGAGCTGCTCAAAGTCCTTCTTCTGGGAAAGAATGCTCTTCAGCGCCGGAGGGTAGGTGTGATAAGTGTCGCAAAACTTGCGCGATTCCTCCGACACATCCTTCACCTTGTAGATGCGGACCATGTTATGCTTTGAAGTGAACACCTCCTCAAAGTACTGGAGCGGGGGGATGCTGGGGATGAAGCGGTGGCCGTGCAGGCGGTAGATGAGCGAGTCGCGCATCATCGGGCTGGGCTGACCGCGCTCATCCTGATAAAAGGCTTGCGGGTTGATGTCGCTGTACACCGAGCCGGAAATGCGCGCCATGTGCGGCGACTTGGCCATGTCATCACCATACATGCCGCCAAAGCGGGTCGACCAGACAAGCACGTAGTCGGCCAAATGGCGGGCAATGGCGTGAGCATCCTTCTCGTTGGAGACCAGGGTACGGCCCAGGAGGGCAATGTGCTCGTGGTTCCAGGTGTTGCCGTCGGCAATCGTGGTGCGGTTGGCGATACCGTTGATCTGATAACCGTAATCCCACCAGGCCATCACGCGCGAGTTCTCGGGGGTGTTGTCACGAAGCCACCAGTACGACTCCCGGAAATCATCAATCATAACCTCGTTGCCGTCACGGGTGCGGCCCTTGATCATAATGGAGGGGTTGGACAGGTGCACGGCCATCATGTTGCAGTGGCGGTAAAAGCCCAGGGACATGAGAGCAGCCACGGCCACGAGGGCCAGAGCCACGCCCACCCGGATCGTGCGCTGCGACTTCCACCACTGCATAAAGCCAGAGAGAGTCTCGAGGTTCTGCACGTCGCCGGCCTTGTCGGCCTTCTTACCCTTGCCCTTGCCCTTGCCCTTCTTGGCATCACCATCGGCGGCATCCGAGCTGTCCGAGTTGCCCTCGCTGGCAGCGCTGTCGGCCTCCTCCAGCTGCTGGCTCGCAAACTCGGCGAGATAACCGAGGGCAATACCGGTCAGGATCGAGGCACTGGGCGACAGGAGAAGCACCAGGCGAACCATCTTGCGCGAAAAGTAAAGAGCAATCAGGGAGTACAGGATGACAAAAACGGTGGCGTAGGTGGGCTTGCGTAGGATGGTGAAAAAGCCAACGGGACCGATGAAGCAAGTCATGTGGAAGTACTGAAAGTACATCTCCGGACGGGTGGCCTGGTGCTCGGCCACCGAGTCGACAAGGGGGTTACCGGTACGGGTGTGCTGCACAAAGAGACCGCGGATACGCGCCGAGAGGGGACCAAAGTAGCCTTCGGGCACAATGACGGCGATGGCCACGGCGGCCAAGGCACCGGCGGCACCAAAGGCAGTGAGCATAAACTTGTTGCGCTCAGTCTTGGTCATGTTGGGGTTGGCCTTGAAGTACATTTCGCAGATCTCACGCACAAACAGGTAGCCAAAGACGGCCATGGGACCCAGCTGCTCGAGGGAGCGAAGGGGAGCCAGACCCACGACGGGGAACTGGATGGCACCAAGAGTGCCAATGATATAGAAGAGTGAGTAGGCACGCTGGAGGCGGGTCGAGTAGTTGAAGAGGGCATTGAGGCCGGCATGGACGCCAATCATGTTCAGAACGAAGACGTAGCCACCCCAGGCGGCCACCATGTAAATGTAGGACACGCCGGTAAAGATGCCCAGAATCCAAGACACATCATCACGGAGCGAGCGAATGTAGAGGTAGAAGGTGGAGCAGATGGCGGCCACAGCCACCGACTCGTTATCGAAGCCACCGGCCACGGAGCGCATCAGATGCGACGGGATCATGGACATGATGAGAGCGGTCGCAACGGCGCAGTTCCAGGACCGGGTGGTCTCGTATGCAATCAGGGCGGTGAAGGAGCAGGCAATGCAGGCGAAGAACGCAGGCATGTACACGCAAACATCGTTGAGGGACACGTCGTAGCCGAGCTGCTGGAGCGAGTTGTAGATGAAGGCAGCCGTCACCTGCAGGCCGGGGTAGATGGTTGTGCCGACGGGCCGGCCAATGGGGTACCATGATTGGTAGTCAAACCAGGTGCTAAACTTTTCCCAGCCGTTGTCCACCAGGTACTCGGCGGCACGAAAGTTAAACCAGGGATCAAACTCGTGGATAACGGCACCGTACTCGTTGACCGCATGCAAGCGGATCGTGTAAGCCGTGTACATGGCAAACAGGAACACGCCCACACGAATCATGTTGCCGGTGAACGACATCCTAGCGGTCAAGAGAGAGAAGAGGTGACGCCCTACACCAGATGACCAAAAATATACATATATGAGCGTCCAGATGCCAAGTGAGCAAGATGTACGATCGCAAGCATCGGGAAGTCACACACACACAAAAAAAAAAAGAGAGCGCGGGCCAGTGGGCGGAAAACGGCCAGTCAAGTCAAGTCACTGGTTGCCCAAACGAACACAGACAAGAAGGAGGAAAAAAAAAAATCCAGAATTGAGCCGGATGGCGTGATTCGATTTGTGCAAAGCAATAAACCATCCCACTGCCCGGACGACTGATCGCAAGCCTCGAGCCCTCAACACCCGAGGGAGCGAACGGGAAATCGAACGACGTGTGTGTGTGTGTGTGTGTGTGTGTGTGTGTGTGTGTGTGTGTGTGTGTCAGTGGCTTGAAGGTTGCCGACTGTGCCCCAGCGCCTCCACTTCAAGGCTGTGATCTGCATTTGTCTCAGCCTTCCAAATCGTCGAGGCAAGGTGGTGAATCAATCAAGCAGCTCACGTACCGTCTATATCACCGCCAATTGGAGGGACTGCGCGCGCGATCCGACCACTGGCTGCCGTTTCTCCCAAACGGCTCGAAAGGGGTCTCTCTCCTTTCAGCGGCCAAAAGGAAAATGAAGCGCAAGAGAGGCACTGAAAGACGCGCTTCAGCTCAGAGACGGGGTGTGATGCTGGTTACGTTGGTAGAGAGTATCAAGAGGTTGGGAGGATCAAGAAGAGATGAAGCGATATGGGGCTTGCAAATCCTGCTTAACATTAGGGATTAAGCTGTAGGAGCAGAGACTTGGAGGTTCAAGACATGCAGTCGCAGAGATGCTTGCGCGAGTGGAGGTGATGTCAGAGGGGAGGAAGAGGCGGTGAACCAAAGCAGAGGCTTGAAACAACATAGTCGCCAAAGACAAAGAGACCACACACTATCGCCGACGTGGCCCTGTGAAAGGTACACGTCAACGAAGCGTGTTATATTCTCATGTACGAACAAAAGCTGGAATGTCTTTTATGTTAGAGGGTATAATTAAAGATAGGGAGATGATTCACCCGCCTGGTTCGGCAGACGGGCGAGTCTACCAAAGCAATGTCTCAACCCTGCCCTTTTTTGGGGAGTGGGGGCTTCTCACAAAGACTGGTTTGTGTTTTTTTTTAGGCAATCTCGACCGTGCATTCGCCCGATAACACGCCGCAAGGTTTGCCCTATATAGACGATCGGAATGCAGCGGTGAGCCAGGAACGAACTGGAGCGAGGCGGGGCAAATGGTTTGGCGAGCGAAGCTGCTTACGGCCTGGTAGAGGGCAACTTTGAACAATTGCTTAGTCTGAAGTCCTAACAGCGAAAGCATGGCTTGTCCCGCGCTCTGCGACCTAAGACGTCAGAGGAGATACCCCACGTCAATCAAGCGCTAGCCGAGGGCTGAGGCATGTATGGGCGGGCATTTGCGGTTGCTCAGCAGCCTTACGTGTAGTCTGCACCATCCAAGTTTTTGCATTGAAACAGGACGGGGAAGCGCATGACCTCGGAAAGTGGGTCAGAGGACGTGATGGTCAGCCGTTCCTCCCAACGGCGAGGCGTCTAACACGAGCAGACAGAAGCGCACACAGGAGTTGATGGCGAGATGCCATGAGCCTTGGGTGCACACGCTGTAGAAAGCCAAATGCACCATGTCTCACCGTGGTGCAAGGGGCAGTGCATTGAACCACGCCCCGACCAAGCCGGTGGCCGGCGATGATGACAGCGGGAGCCGTTGGTTGCTTGAGGGATGAGCAGCTGTCGTGCGTTTCCAGATAGAGGTGTTGAAACGTAATCGAGCAGCCGTTGTCGTCTTCTTTGCTGCTCTTGGCCAAAGGGGGCGACAGCACCTGCCACAACAACAACAACAACAACAACAACAACAACAACAACAACAACAACAACAACAACAACAAAGGGGGAGCGGAGGGTTGTTTCCAATCGGAACAGATAAACATGAGACTGCTTGCAGGCGCGCCCGTCTCGATCATTGAGTGACATGCGACCAACCTTGTACACGCCGCTCACGGGAAAGTGGTCCGAGGTGTATATTGTGGGATGGCTGCATGGGACAAAAACATAATTAATAAAATGGGTCAAACCCATCAATCAAAAAGGCCTAGTACCCCCAGATACTCTGTCCAGCGCTGCTCGCGTACCTTTGGTAGGACTCGCACTTGACGGCGGCGCCTTGGATGGCGCGATACAGAATGCGATCGCAGTAAGAGGGCACACGCTTCAAATTGTACCGATCCCTGTGTGTTGCCAATGATGAGCAAATTGAACAGGGTCCCAAGCATGGGCGCAATGACCCAGAAGCAGATACACACTTGAGCTGTACAGAGTGTGAGGCACTGTTGAGCTTGAAGGTCGGGGCCCAATGGATTGGCGCTTCCTCAAAACCATGAAAGGCACGCTGCACCGTACACAAACCCACATTCCCAGGAAAAAAAAAGAGAGAGCGCGGGCATTCAGTCGGCTGCCCCAAGAGCCTGGGACGCGGTCGTCCAAAGTCCCTTGGATCCAATCCAATCCCTTTGGGCAGTGACGTACCATGGAGCGTTGTTGGGCACGTAGCTGGTCATAGCTTAGGAGTTCGTCCCACTTTTGACGTTTGATAGCCTTGAGCACAATCTTGTTCATTTCCTCCTTGGCTTGCATGTCGGGCAGTGGTTGAAGTCGATAGTTGAGGTCGCCAAACCAAAACGTCACATGGTGGCGGTTCATGACCTCAACGTGGTATGTGAAGTCTTGGTCGTGGAGCTGCAACACCTTGGGTGATGACCCAAAGGCATCGCGGGTATCATGAAGCTCCCGGGTGATGAGGGCGTAATCGCCATTGCGGCGGTCCACCTGGTGGCGCCCACCCACCGGACCCGCGCCATGAGCCAGGCGACTGGACGGGGCCGAACTGCACGCAACGGCGTGACTCGGGCGTATGGGAGACATGACATACATACCTCATGCATGTGTGCATTGAGATGGGCCGAGATGAAGGCCAGATGCAGGCCACCCAAGTTGAGTGTGCAGGCAACCGCGCCCTTGTTGCCAGACAGTCTAAAAGCCGGATCGGAAAGTCAACAACAATACAAGAAGAAGCAAATCAAAGAAGAAGGCACGGAGATTTCGTGAGAATCAGAAGAATGCACTGCTTGTGGAGGAGGTCACGAAGAAGCTCACCCGTCCAAGCGACCACAAGTCTGGAACAGCAGGTGTGATTCCCACTCGTATTTGGCGAGCACCGACTCGCGCGCATAGATGATGAGGCGGATCCCAGACTCCTTGGCAGTGCCACTCGCCACCGCGTCTATGAGCAACGATAAAGTGCATTTGAAAAACTTGGACGTGACATGGCACTAGCGCTACGACAAAAGACGAGCGTGGTGGCGCCGGTGGCAGCTCAGGCGGGGCGGGTAGGCACAAACCTTCGAAATCTGTCCGAGTGAGAAAAGTCGAGTCGGTTCGAGGCGAAAGGGTTTGACAACAAATTTCTTTGTAACCAGGACCGATGGCTTTGTCGATCAGCTCGCTGAGATGTGCTTCCTGGTTGAGCTGTGATGCCCCTTGCTCGGGCTCGTAGACGCTTTCTGCACAATGCAAAATGCTTGTCATGAGCTGCGCAGGCATCGCGCAGGGAGGAGGGGATGTCAACGCGTGTGCAACCAACCCTGAAGGCCGATGGCATAAATGTCGTATTTGCCGGCCGGAATCCAATCGAGCGATTCTGGTGGCTTGGCATTTCCTGTCGCACGCGCATGTGAGCTGGACCAGCAGGAGCAACCGGATGAAAGGGCTGGTGTACTAGGAAACATACCCAGGTTCCAGGTGGAAACAAAGACGCTCAAGTCTGGGCCATGGATCTGGGCGTGTCTTGATCCTTGCCCACCCATCCTGGCACCAGCAGGCCGGCGCGCCGACGCCGACAACTCCTCTCTGCCCGCTTTCCTCGGTTGTGAGACGTCCCGGAAACGTTCCGGCTTCCCAACTCTCTCCGTCTGATCGAAAGGCGGACAAGCAGCTTGTCCACGGAACCACCATCAACCAGTCCCCACGACCAGTCCAACCCCAATGCAGACGTCCTGTTGCCCGTTATCACGCCACCGCCACCGCCCCCTCACTTTGCTGCCTGGCTGCTCCTCCTCTGCCGCATGCATGGGCGTTCACGTCCAAACTAAAGAGATGCTTTTCCTCTCTCTCTCTCTCACACATTGAGAATGTCATCATTTTCATCATTTTCCATTGTGTGTGGGCTGATGTGTTGCTGTTCGCTCCCAACCATGACTGCGCATTGCGCCAAACAGAGGACGGCAGTGCATTAATCAACACCCCTCCCCCTCCCTTTGACTTGAGGTGCTTGTGACGTATGCTTTTGTGAAGATCAAGGATCAACAGTATTATACAACAAAGTCTTTGTTTCGTGTCAATTTGCGGCAAGCAAAAAGCTAGACCAACTTGGAAGAAAGCTGGAGAGGCATTTACTTGGCAGCAACGCCAACCTTGTGGTTCTTGGCCAGGTAGTCCGAGTGCTCGTCGTAGGGGGAGTCCTCGAGCTTGATATCGGCCCAGAGATCGGGGGTCAAGAAGGTGTAGGTGCGGCTGATGGCCTGGAAGGCAGCCTTGGCTGTAACATTGAAGCAAAGCACCAGGGAAACCAGCGTGAGCGCCAAGCAAATAAAATCATGGTGAGTACGGAAAGAAAACCAAAAAAAAAAAATAGAATAGAATAGAACAAGGATATAACAAGTCATTCCATCAGTAGACTGTCGTGAACAAAGTGCTCTTCATGTTGCACAGCGCTGGCTGCATGAATTCAGCGAGCTGGGATTATTTGTCGTCACACGGAATGGTTTTGTTGATGTGGAAACACCGTTGGGTAAAAGAGGAAAAAAAGAAACAGAGAGACACAAGATACACAATGACACGTGTAGGTAAAACAGGATACGCACCAAAGTTGCCGAGGGTGGCGGTCTGGCCACCGCAAGAGGTGTAGCAATCCTCAATACCGGCCATCTGGAGCAGCTTCTTGGGGGCAGGAGCGGCCACAATGGCGGAACCGCGGGGAGCGGGAATGAGGCGGACACGGACAGAGCCGCAACGGCCAGTGACCTTGCAGGGAACGGTGTGGGGAGCACCGATCTTGTTACCCCAGTAGCCACGACGGACGGGGATAACGGCAAGCTTGGCCTGGATCATGGCACCGCGGATAGCGGTGGCCACTTCCTTGGAGCACTTGACACCAAGGCCGAGATGACCGTTGCCATCACCGATAGCCACAAAGGCTTTGAAGCGGGTGCGCTGACCGGCGGTGGTCTGCTTCTGGACGGGCATGATCTTGAGAACCTCGTCCTTGAGCTCGGGCAGGAAGTGATCAATGATCTGGTACTCCTTGATGGGCAGAGAGTGCAGGTAGATGTGCTCGAGGCTCTTAATCTTGCCATCCTTCACAAGACGGCCGAGCTTGGTGACGGGAACCCAGGTTTCCTTGCCACCATCGGCACCGCCACGGCCACGACCACGGCCACGGCCACGGCCGCGGCCACGTCCACGAGAATCACCGGCTGGAGCAGCTTCCGCCATTGGTGCAGTTCACGAGGCAAAGTGAAGAAGAAAAGTGCCACTCGTCGCCTCACCGTTTCTCTGTACGGAAACACCCGAGCTGGTGCTCTCTCTGCTCAAGGTGGTCTTGGCCCTTGTGGAGGGGGAAAGGGAAGCAAGACGGTGGGTGTTTCTCTGCTTTGTGTGTGTGTGGCGCGTTGACTCCCTGCGCTGTGGGGGTCATCGTGGGGGTGAATGGCTATAGTTTAGAGCTGATTTTTAGTCGCAATGTTTTTCGCTTTGCCCATGCTGTATTCCGCTGGTCGCCTTTGGGCATGGGAACAAATACACGTCGCTTGATCGTGATGTAATCTGCTAGTCGTCGTCTTACGGTTGTGTGCTCCACGTGTAGCCTTCAGCCACTATGCCCGCATGCCAAATGATACGCAAGTGTGAAAGCGTAAACCTTACCCCTCCCGGAAATAAACTTTCTTGACCATCCCCACTGTCCTCGGATCTGTATTCAATTTTACGGGTTGGATTGGCTACCTGTAAAGTTAACAAAAACTAGACGTTGTCTTCTCTCTCTCTCTCGCGTTTCTGCGAACGCGCGCACACACTGAATAGCATTTACTCGCGCGACCCCCCAACGGCACGATGGTGACCAACACGAGCGCGGAAGAGGTATGTGTGTGTTTATTGTGTGTCGCTGGCTGGCTGATTGACTGCCCTGCTGTGGGTGCTTGTGTTTGGTTTTGATTGGCCTAATGAGGAGCTTGATTTCTCACCCCAAATGCATGGTGGCAGGTGGCGGCCGGAGCGACCGGAGCGGTCGGAGCAGCTGAGATCGAGGTCGACGCTGGCAAAAAGGCAGCTCAGGCTGAGGCACCCGCCCCCGCTGCTGGTGAGCCTGTGCATGCCCAGTTGACCGGCTTTGGCCTCTTTGACTGGCCAATCTCCGTGTCCAACGTTGACGCCTTTTTTTTTCCTGCTTCACGTGAAACCCTCACTCCTCCGTCCCCCGACCCTCCGTCCCTCCTTCATGGCGTTGTCTTGCATTGTAGCCGCCGAGGTCGACGACGAGGCCAACGAAGAGCTGGCCGAGGCCGAGGGAGGGGATAACGCTGAAAGCCAAAAGAAGAAGAAGAAGAAGAAGAAGAAGAAATCCAAGAGTGGCAATGCGGTATGTTCCAGGAGCTGGTGCCTGCCATCTTTCTTCGCCCCTGCCTCCTTGCTACTGTACCGTGCATCCTTTTTCTCGTGGATGAACGCGGCCCAAACTGGAGGCTACACCAACTTTGTGGAGCATGTCCTGTCTTGGATGGTCGTTGAGCTTGGTGATTGTCACTCATGCATGCCCGAAATTTCGTCTTCTCCGATTTCGGGCGTACTTCGCTTTGATTCGATGCCCTGATCACAGAAGGAGCAAACCGATCCCCCAACCATCCCCGTCACCCAGCTCTTCCCGGCGCGGAAAATGCCCGAGAATGAGACCCACCAGTACAAGGATGAGTACGTCATGCTCGAGCCGGGCCGAGCCGAGCCGAGCCTTTGACACGCCGATGCTCCTCCTCTTCCCCATTCCTGGCATGCTTGTGTGCTCATTCTCAATCGGCACCTGTTGTGGCCTCATCCCAGCAACTTGCAACGCACAACGGCCGAGGAGATCCGGGCGCGTGACCGTCTCATGGAGGAGCAGATCCAGGATCTTCGTGAGGCCGCCGAGGCTCATCGCCAAGTGCGCAGCTATGTTCAGCGCATTGCCAAGCCTGGCATCAAGATGATTGACCTCTGTGAAAAGCTGGAAACGGCTAGCCGTGCCTTGATCGGTGAAGATGTGCGTCCCTCTTTTCTTGCTCACACACACACACACACACACACACACACACACACACACACACACACACACACACACACACACACACACACACACACACACACACACACACACACACACACACACACACACACACACACACACACACACACACACACACACACACAGAGCAAGTACATCGGATGGTTGTGCTCATCCTTACGCCATCGCTGCCTAGGGTCTCAAGCGTGGTCTCGCGTTTCCTACTGGCTGCTCTCTCAACCATGTGGCAGCGCATTGGACCCCCAATGCCGGTGATGAAACCGTGCTTCAGGTTTGTCTTTATTACCGCCCACTGCCGCCCCCCCCCCCCCCCCTCTCCCCGGGGGGGGGTACGGTCTCCCTGTTGGCTTTGTATTAGTATGACGATGTGTGCAAGATCGACTTTGGAACCCACGTCAATGGCCACATTATCGATTGTGCCTTTACCCTCTCATTCAACCCCAAGTACGCCGCACGCTCGGCCCCAAGTTGACTCAATTCCCGCATAATCACCAGCACAGGAACGGTCAGACCCTGGCGCTGACCCACTCACCATCGACGGTCACCCTGCTTTGTGGGATAGATATGACAATTTGCTGGCTGCTGTCAAGGATGCAACCAACACCGGCATTCGCGAGGCTGGTATTGATGCCAACTTCCAGGACATTGGCGCCGCTATTCAGGAGGCCATGGAGTCGTATGAGATTGAACTCGACGGCAAGACGTATCCCATCAAGAGCATTGAAAATCTCAATGGTCACTCCATTGGCCCTTATCGGTGGGTCCAGCTCATGGCCCATCCAAGCCACAGTCGCCGGTACCTGTACCGTACCTGACCCCCTGAATGCTTTTGACCTTGCAGGATCCACGCCGGAAAGTCGGTACCCATTGTCAAGCGTGCAGAGGAGGGACGCATGGAAGAAGGTGCGACTTTGTAACACACCCGCGCTCTAGGACAGGGCTTCTAGGGTTTCAACCACAACCGTGCTGGTGGCAGCTTCTTGATATGTTTTTTTTTTTTTGTTCATTTTATTTTGTCCGGCTTAGGGGAGGTGTATGCGATTGAGACTTTTGGCAGCACTGGTCGCGGTCGTGTTGTGGAGGACCTCGAGTGCAGCCACTATATGCGCAATCCCGAGTGCCCCCATCAGCCTCTGCGCACCAAGGGCGCTCGCGACCTCTTGCATCTCATCAACCAAAACTTTGATACGCTGGCCTTTTGCCGTCGCTGGATCGATCGCTTGGATCAGAGCCGCTATCTATTCTCTCTCAAGCAGCTCTGCGACGTGGGCTTGGTGGTGCGTTTTCGCCTTGTTTCAATTTGCACGAAACTACTGCTGGTTCACGAGTGAAGCTGTGCCGGAGGCAGTGTACACCTCTGATTTGATTCCTGCTCTTGTGTGCCCGTGTAGGATGCATACCCCCCGCTGGTTGATATCAAGGGCAGCTACACGGCTCAGTACGAGCATACGCTCATTCTGCGTCCCGGCTGCAAGGAAATCCTCAGTCGCGGCGACGATTATTAAGCCATGTACCGATCGCAACGCAGTTGCATCCAGTCTGCCTGCTTGATGCTTTGTGCATCTGTATGTGCTTCCATGACCATGTCACGGTTCTTTTGTTCTTGTTTTCGTATTGCTCTGCCTGTCTGATGTTTCAGAGCCATGTGCTTCCTTGATATCTTGTGTATGAATCAGCGATTCCTTGTTGTCTCTTGTCGCATGGGTGGCGCTTCCTACGCCTCCCCTCGCCACTTCTCGTCTACAGTGATGAGACTGCTGTCTCCGCCCATGGCATGTGTTGTCTGCATGGCCAAAAATCGATCAAGTCGACCACGCTCTCTTTTCGCTTCCCCCTCCCCCCCCCTTTATCCCAAACCTCCATCATCATGGCGCCGTGTTCGTCTTGTTTTTGAAGGATTTGTTGATGAAATGTCATCAAAAAACTGACCCACTCGTTTTTATTTTTATTTTTTTTTTTTTCATCTAATGGTGTTGACCTCGGACCGTCAGTCGCTGGGGGACTGGCAGCAGCATGTCGTTTGCCATCAAGTCGGCCGTTGGGGAGGGGGAGGATGGGAAGGAGCGGCGTTGGCGGCCACGGGCTGCCTTGACCATTCGTGGAACCAATGAAGTGATCAGTGCCGCTCTAAAACAGGTCAGCCCTCAATCTCAACTCTACGGACACCCCCGCCCCCGTCAGCTCCGCCCCCCTGGTGCCCTCCACGCACGTGCATTCCCCCCACTTGCCGCGCAGCTGTCCAGTCTGACGGTGTTGCCTGCGGGTCTCTATGCAGGGTGTGTTGTACCATGATGTTGACAAGGGTGAGCCCTGTTTTGGTTGCGACCAATGCACGGGCTTTGAGATTCACTTTTGGCGCAAGGTAATTCACTTTGCAGCACCCGACTCGATGACGCCCCAGCCGCCCAACTCATCCCATTCATCGCCTGAACTCTTAGAACTGTACCATTTGTGGATGCGACAAGAGCCTGCATGGCTACAAGCAGCTTGACGAAAAGTCTGTCGGGCGCATTCGTCAGCCATCCATTTATCGCGTAAGCTCCAATCGACCCCGGCCCTCCGGGTTTGATTTTTGACCTTTGAGGCGCCTGTTCAACGTAAGAGCCTGATCCATCGCTTGCGCCGTCACATCGTCTTCTGTGAGATGCAGAGCAAACAGGAATCAAATCGTCGACGTCAGCGACGCCAACGCATCGCCGGTCCGTCCTTGACCTACATCCCACTCACCTCAGCACCTCAGCACTCGACGCTGTCCTTGCAGCACATGCCTCACAACCCGTGCTTGCTCATCATTTAAACCCACAGAAGCCAACAAAGAGTTGGGCATTGAAGCTGAAGACCAGACTCCAGATGTGGTACGTGGTCCATGGCCTCTCCCTTTGACAGTCCCCGCGCTTGCGATTTATACCCGCAGCAACTAAGGCTCCCAACGCATGCCTCAGGAGGAAGTAGAAGCAGAAAACGAGCCAGAGCCAGAGCCAGAGCCAGAGCCAGAGCCCGCACCTCGGCCCGAGGAGGCTCAGGGCGAGGTTTACGATTTACACGATGACAGTCACATCTACCCTGGCCTGCTGGATGGCCTGCACTCAGATATGGGCAGCCTCCTAACTGACTCCGTGCTCGGCGGCTTGGACACCGCCTCCATGTCGCCAGACCCGGTGGTAAGCACCGAGCCCGAGGACCTCACCCCCTCACCGCCGCCCGCAAGTCACAGGAGATCAAGCGGACCACCAGCTGTCCGCGAAACCCCACCACCTGCCCCGTCTCCCTTGCCAGTAAACCCCGAACCCGCTGCACCAGTGGCGTCCTCGCCACCCCCTCCAGCGCTGGGCCCTTCAGCTGCCATGTATGCCAAGGTAGAGGCTTGCATCTTGCTCACCCTACTGCTCAGAAGAGCGTGCCCGACTCATGCACCCACCATTCCCTTCCATGCCGCATCCTTGTCGATGTGGCTTTGCAGTATGCCTGGTTTCCTCCGGGGCTGACCGACCGACAGATCAAGCGTTATTTTGCCACGTACCCCCGTGAGCTCGTGCCGCTACGCGGCTCGCTGGGCGAGCGCTATCTGGTTCAGCAACTGCGAGCTCAGCTGCCACCCCATGACCTCGATGTCTCCCGCGCTTCAGCGCTACGACCCGAATATTACCCCATGTTTGAGGAATTCATCGCCTTCAAGGTACCTGCCTGCTGGGCACGACAACCGGCACCACAGCCCACCGTGATGAATGTGCGCCACTTGGTCCCCGAGACCGCCATGTTTGACCAAGCCCTATGCCATAGATGTCGCGCGCCCGCCCGGGTGAAGCTTTTGAATCGATTGAGCGCCTCAATTGTCACCGCTGTGCCGGACCGATCAAGCCGGGCGAAGTAAGAGCAGGCCTGCTCTAACTTTTGGCCATTCTGGCAGGCCCCATAGAATTGTGGGCTGGATACTTACCTCGACGTGTGACTCGCTGTTTGGCTGGCCCCGACAAACATAGATGGCCATTGAGGTGGAAGGTGTCCTTGACGCCCATGGCAACCCAGCCGTATATCATCACGACACATGTTTTGTGTGTGAGGTGCGACCTTTTGTTTGCCTTTTGGATGGAAGCTGTTTCACCAACCCGCCCGCAATTGGCATGCACGTGGCCAACTGCGCATCCATGCACGCACGCGCCTGGCCTTGAGCCCTCACCTTGTCTCGTACCACCTGCTTAGTCGTGCGAACAATTACTGGTGGATCTGATTGGGTTTGAGCATGACGGCATGTTGCTCTGCGCTCGTCATTGCGCCGATGCGCATCGTCCTCGGTGAGATGGCCGTTGATGTGGGACCCCTTGCACACACACATCGAACCCTTGCAGCACCTTTGTAAAGCTCCCTCGCGTTTGCCATCATGACCATGGTTTTCGCCTCCACCCAATGTAGCTGTGCGGCTTGTGATGAGAGCATCTTGGAAGACGATTACACACATGCCCAGGACCGAGACTGGCATCTTGACCACTTTACATGCCGTTTTTGCGAGTGCCAGCTCTCGGAACGCGAATACGTGACCATGAACGATCAGGTCGGGTCTTGTTTTGTTCGAATATTCTCTCTCCGTCTCGTACTACTCTCAAAGCTGCCTCTTTTCAATTACCGTTGTGCGCTTTTGCACTTTCTCAATGAAGATCATTCCCTTGGTTATTCTTGCTCTGCATGTGCTCCTCACCCTTGTACCTCACTTTGTGTGGTGAGTGTAGATTTGCTGTTTGGCGTGCTTTGACCGCCAACATGGCGAGGTGTGTGAAGCTTGTCACCAAGTCATTCGCTCGACTGAAGGCATGATCACCGACGGTCGGGCACACGGCCGAGCCTGGCATCGTGCTTGCTTTGTCTGCGCTGCCTGTCGACAACCGCTCGCCGGAAAAATGTGTATTCCTCGCGACAACCAGCTCTTCTGTACGTGACTGGCCCGATTTCGCTCTCATCGAATGTAACAGGCAAGGCGAGACACACAGAACAAAGCCCTTTCTGTTCCTTCCCTTGCGCTGATCCATCCCTGCTCTGGCCCGGTTCTCAGGCAAAACCGACTACGAGCGCCTCTACAAGAAGGTCGAACGCAAAAGTCTACGCAAGAAGAAAACCAGTCGCCCAACCCTCAGCGCCGCCAGCAGCGTCTTCTCCATGGCTCAAGCCATGTAAGAGGTCCGCTCCGGTCTGGTGCACGAGAGAACACGCTGACATTTTCCTCCCACTGAGTTCAATCCAACGAAAACTGTGAGCATAATCGACCATCAACGCGGGATTTGTATAGACGTTAAACCTGTTTTTCCCATAACGGCTATACAAAAATATCATCCCAGCAGTTGTGGCTTGGCGCGCCAGCGCCGTTTTTTTCCCGCCACAACGCTCAGTTCGAAAAACCGCGCTGCCGCCGAATGCACGTCTGAAAGGTTGCAATTTTTTTTTAAAAAAAAAATTCTTTCGTTTTCGCGTGCTCGTGAAGGGAGCCGGCCTTCCTTCCGTGCTGTCCCCTGGCCCCCTTGGGCAGCTGGTGCTGTCGATCTACTGCAGAGGGCAAGCCCCCACAACATTTTTTTATCGGCAACCGCCACACTTTTGTTTTTTAAATCCACACAGTACAGTTCGAACGCCAACGCTTCTGGAAATCGGCGCATTGGCTTGAGCTTTTGGGCACAACCCCCTTGGTACCCTGTTTGGTTGACTTCTCGGGCTTGAGTACTCTGTGCAGCCACGCTCTTGGCAAATTTTGGCTCAGTGAAAATGGGAGCCTCGGCTTTGGAAGACGGGCAGCGCCCTTCGCAGGCACACCATGAGCCTGAACATCAGACTGACCAGGCGCCACCTGCGCCAGTGAGGCCATCCACGCCCGGCATTTCCTCCCCGCCTCAAACGGAAGATCAATGGGTGATCGATGGACCGCGCCCCGAAGCCTCAACTGCACGCGATCCCGCCTCTGCTTCTCGGCCACAGCACCCCACAGAGCCACAGCATGCCAGCGAGTCGGACCTTGACGAGACTGATGAGACCGACTCTGATCAGGATGAAGATTGCGTTGACTCGGTACGTACCCAGCCCGAGTCATTTGAACACCCCAACTGGAACTTCTCCCGCCTCATTTTCTCTGTTCATCTGTTCAACGCTGATCCTCAGGCGGCCTTTCTGGCCGTATGTCGGGCCAGCGGCCTGCCCATGGAAGTGCAGACTGAAGCGCGAGAAATTGTTGACCTGCTGGTATGAATCTGTTCCGGGAAAAGGCATCGTTCCATAGCGACGCAGTGGGAAGGCAGTCGTCTGCACTGACCATGCTTGGTGCTATTTTTCTCATGGTCCAAGCATCCGCCCGCTCATTGGTATCACTAGGTCTTAGCGCTCGACCCAGCACAGACCTGGACGGGCTTGGAGTCGACCTATTGGTCGGCCGTGGCCATGCTCTTGGCTGCGCGCCAACCAACCGCCTCGGGTTTCATGCTCTTGGCCACGGGCGGGCTCACAGTGTCCGACCTGCTACAGCGCTGCGAGCTCAATGCCGTCACATTTTTTGACCACTGCCGACAGGCCCTGGCAGCTCTTCGCACAAGTGCCAACGTGGACGCGGACTTTTCCCTCACCCGTCTCAATCTTTTTGAGGCGTACTGCAACCATATGCACCGCAGCTTTGTGGTCATGTGTCAGCTACGCCACCAACTCGAGCGCTATCTCTACAACCTTTTCAGTACTGATCAGCACAACTCGGAGATTCATGCGCGCATCAAACAATTCGTGTGGATCACCTTTCAAGCGGCGCGCATCAGTCACATCCATGACACCGTCTTGCACACCGGCTGCGAGTCACTTCTGCACCTTCTCATCTGCGTTGTCCACCACGCCGTTGTGCGCTGCGATGCACCTTTGCTCCGCCCCAATTTGGCTGTTGAGCTCATCAAGCAAAAACCTAGCACAAGCGATCCCTGCTTGGAGCAACTCGACACCATCTGCCGTACCTTCAAGTTCAACCGCGACGAAATCTTGGTCATCCGACGCTCCTTTTGGGAACCGTTTCTGCGAGACTACGAAAACCTGCTGTTCTTTGTGGATGGACAACCGCAGCCCATGGCGATGACCTATTTGAGCCAAATCTACGAGCAGCAATACTATCGCCAACCTCAGTACGCGGGTCTTGATGATCGTCTCTACATCGATCAGGTACCCCACCTTCAGCTTCCGCCTAGCATCGCTAGCCGAGGAAGCAGCACCGTGGACTTGTTGCAAGCAGGGACTCGCGATGTTCTTCATCGAGCCCGCCGCAACTTACTCGGGGAACTGCGTCAAACCGCCGACCCTGTCAACCCAGAAGACTCGTCAGCTGCCGATCGTGGCCATCTTGAGAATGAGACGGGGCGAGCTGCTGTTTCCAAATCTGACGCTGGGGCCGCCGCATGCGCCATGCTGAACATGAACTGTTCGGCTTCGGCACCGCCTCAGCCTCAGCCTCAGCCTCAGCCCCAACCACAGGTCCGACCCCCGGCACCCTCATCAGCCACCACTCCGCGAAGCCGCGCTCGGCCAATGCCGCAGCCTACGCCCTCGCACGACGCCCTGCAGCGCCTGCGCGCCACAGCCAGTGGCACTAACATGCCCAGCACGCCTTCGTCCCCGCTGCGCCAAGCTGCACAACAGCTACGAGAGTTTATGGAAGAGCTGCCACAGCACACGGACGGGCCTAGCTTCGAACTGGCCAAGTGTTTTTACGAGTGCGATCAAACCCGTGATACTGCCACCACGCAGCAGGAATGCAAGCAACTGCTGAGCGTTGTTCAAGACCAGGTCGTACGTGCTCTTCGGGGCCATCAGTACGCATACTTTTGGGAGACGCACGAGAAGTCGCTGATCACGGAAAGTGAAAAGCTGTTCTGGTGGCTCCTCCACGACATTTTGGCCAAATCGTTGAACACGTCTCTGCTTGGGCGTGCCGCCTTCCTGCGCGCCGTCATGGCCCTCAGTTACGAGGTTGTCTTGCAAGTTCATCGCCGCGAGTGGTTTCAAGTCCCCGTGCCGTCGCGTCTGCGATTTCCTTGGATTCTGCATGTCGCCCACGTGCCACCGGAGAACGTGCTCAAAGTCATTGAACCCTGCATTGTTCACACGCTCAGCGCCTATCCCGTCATCACGCAATATCTTGCCGATTTGGAGGCGGGCGTGCTCCAGCAACAGCTTTGGGCTGTGGGTTCGAGTTTCCTGGCACGAATGCGACGCGATGGTGTTTACCTACCGACCGTCCACGAGTCGGGCACTATCGACCGGCCAGGACGCCGTCACCCGCCTCAGCCACACAGGGCATCGCCAGCTCGCCGCAATTTGAGCTCACTTTTTGCGGACGAGGGCGAGCCGCTCGCAAAACGGGCTGCACGGGAGCTCGCACCCGTGGACAACAACGCGACCCCGAGTGCAAGCTCCCGCAGTGGATCTCAGGCAAGCCTCCCGCACACTCTATTGACACAGGTTGCATACAAGTTGTATCCCCTGGTCATTGACCGCCTGTCCGAGCTCATCCATCGCCTCAAGGAGGTGCCTGGGGCCGTTGTCACTTCAATTGTACGTGCTCGCGTACTCGCATCGTGCCGCTTCTGCGTAGCTTTTGAAGTAGGACGCCATGACCCACGCTGCTCAGGGTAGTAGCTCACTGAAAGCGCTGTTGGTTGTAGACGAAAATGGCCTGGAATTTACTGCTGGATGTCTTTCACAACCACATTCAGCTGCTTGAAGGCATGCACACGGATCAATTGATCATCTGCTGCGTCTACGCCAGCCTCAAGGTACCAGTATTTTTTTTAAGCTTCGACTCGCTCACGAAAAAAAATACGCTCACTCGCCTAACTTTGATTCGTGACTGGGCTCATTTTTTTTTTTTTTGCAATTTGATTTGTTGTGTTTGATAGCGGCGTTTTCCGAGGCAGATTGCATTCAAGTATATTCGCGAGCAGTACGAGTCCATGCGAGGAGTCAACGAGCGGCTTGCCAGCACTGCGTCTGTGGCCTGGGGCGACGACTTGCAAGGCCTTCAGGCCATGCTGCAGAAACGCCGCATTGACATCCAGGACGTAGCGATCGTAAGTATTTGTGAGGGGGATCGGTGGTTCAATGGAATGCAGGCAGATCTTGTTTCTGCACAAGCATGCATCTTACCGTTGCTCCGCCTGCATTTGGTGACGAACGCCAACCCCCAGCATAACGTCGCAGGTCGTTTGCTGGCCCAATCTTCCTTGGAAACGTACTACAACCAGACGTTTTTGGAGTGCATGCATACTGTCGTCTTGAGCATGTATTCTGATGGTGAGTGCCCTTCCTTCTTCTTCCTTTTCAGTATTGCCGACAGAGGCTGACACCCATGAATCTGACTGTGCGCCTGTGCGTGTGCGCCTTGGCAGGACAAGAAGGCGCTTTGGTCCCCCTGCCAGTCTTTCCGGAGTGCAAGCGCATTCAGCTGACGCCACAACGCCACAGCCAAAGCCCTGGACCATTTGGACGCAACGTGTTTGTGTCACCCCTTTTGTACGTTGATTCCCGTCATTCAATAGAGCACATGCAGCCGACTTTCCTGTTGTTGCTCATGCCTCTTATCATTTGGTGATAGACATCAGCGCGATGGCTTGCATCAGCGCTTGAAGGACGCTTCTCCACTTCGTGCTCAGTCAGTAGTCGGCGCCTTCTGTCGCGTTTGGCCTTGTGATGTGCGAGGCCCTACCTCGCCAACTGTCTGCTTCCCTCCGCATGACTTCTCACTCAGCTCGGCCATGCTTTCGCTCGTAGGTACCGTTCAGAAGAGGCGGCAGCGTTGCGCGTCACGCGGAATACGCCGATGGCTTGGTAAGTCAACTTGTAGGCCGCGATCAACTCGGTCACTCTGTTTTCTCCTTTGCTTCCATTGCCTGATCCTTCCCGCCAACCTGACAGCCTCTTCTTGCATGCAGCAAAACACCAACTTCGCGACTGCGTGCTTCAGACTCGATTCGCACAAGCTTGCAAGACTTGAGCAAGGCGATGTAAGCCGAGCTACTCAATAGCACACGGCGCTGGGCGCCATGTCTTAAGCAATCCTTTGGGCCAACATGAGCCTCTCGATGTGTGAGCCATATTATTCTTCTTGTGCTTTCTTTCTTTGTCTACCGCCTTGATCATATATCGAGGAACGAAATCGCGCCTTGGTGTGTGTGTGTGTGTGTGTGTGTGTGTGTGAACGAGTTGCCCTCCGATCGGTGCCCGCTACACCAATCTCGCCTCATGATAAACTGCCTTTGTGATCCGGCAAAATGTGACCCCGTTGCCTCAGTAACGCGCTGTGCGCGCCAACTGAGCGTGAATTGACATGTGCATTTTGCTTTGGTCATCCATCATTTTACTAGTCAAAGCCACGGCCGAGTGGGCCACAACAAAAAAAAAGGCAATGGAAGGGGGCGGGCGGTCGCAAACAGCCAATACTTAGCTAGGCCCGGCCCTCCAGGCCATCAAGCTGGCTCAAAAAGCGATCGCCCGTCGTGACGTCTGTCGTCAGCACAACGTAGTCTCGTTCTACCACCAAGAGCACACAAAAGTGGTCAAGACGAAGCCAAGAAGCAAACAACCCGGGATGCGAATGCAAGACACAGAACAGAACAAGACCGAAGAAGCGGTCATGTGTTCCAAGTGTTGCCGTACCATGTTGCTGTCCCAAGTAGCGCAGAGTGCTCAGCTCAGCCACGGTGCAGCCACCCACAAACACGACCAGTGTCACGGGCTTGTTGGCACGCTCACCGGCCGCCGATGTGGACCCGACAGGCTCTAAGGGAATGTTCACAAGTTGAAAGCATCAACATCAGACCTGAGCCAGCACGTATTTGCAAACACCAGCCACGCACACTGCTTTGCATTCCGCAGAACCGCAAGCAGCAAGCAGCAAGCCAGGCAATTGACAGCATGGACAATTGGAGAAGCAGACACAACAAAAAGCCCACCTTGTTGCTTCAAGCCCGCGGGTAGGGTCTGCTGTTCGTCCAGGATGGTCGGGCTGGCTGGGCAAGCCAATTTGAGGGCCTGTGCATAAAGTGCAGTTAAGCATCGTGTGAGAACATCCAACAGTAATGTTGCCTCGAGGGCGGGAAGCAGCCCTTGCTCACCTCGCCCATGCTTCGTTCTGCTTCTTTGCCTTGCCGAGCCATGAGATCAATGAGGCGTGTGCTGAAGGAGGAAGCATGGAAAGTGCGCATGGTCAGTGCTGGGCGATCTTCGGAGCGCAGCCGCGAATGCTCTGCTTGCCGCACCCACCTCAGCGGGCAATAACCGCAGTAGCTAAAGCTAATGTCATCAAACCCTTCTCCGACGTTCTCCATGTACAAATTGAAGGCTTTGGCAAGTTGCGGCCAGGTCTTGCCCGTCTAGCAAATTCCGCCATGCACCACGCGCGGCAAACTCATGAGAGCTATGCCGATGCGCATCTCCACTTGAGCGGCATGAATGCGCTTCGGATCATTAACACCCAACAACTTACATGGGGCTTGAGCAGGCCGGCCTGGAGAAGATTTTCCAACGTCAGCAGATGACGGAAGCCAAAAATATTGACGAAATCGCGCCTGTAGCGGTCAGGCGCAAGAGGTGAGGTATTTGACGAAGGTGGGGGAGGTACAAATAATAATTTTTCAACGAAAAAAAACCGCTTACTTGTATTGCTCGAGCGTCTTTTTCAGCCCACCATTGACCAGTGATTGCAAGCACATGAGGCGCATGGTGCGGAACATGGTTTTGTGAAAGTCGGAGCGCAGCGTCTGGGGTGCGTCGACATCGGAGCGGCAAGTGGGATCCAAGCCGTAAAGGTATTGCTCAATCAACTCGTGGTATTTGTCGCCCACCTCGCTGCGCACCATGCTCTATAAACGTCCGATAAGGTGAACAAGTGAGTGAACAAGTGAGTGAAAAGCACAAGAAAAAATTGGCCGAGCACGGCGGTTCGCCATTGACGTGCACGCAGTGACACACCATTTCAAGGTGCCAGCGCTCGGCAAATTCATCCGTATCCAAGTTGGCTTTGACATCTTGCATCAGAGCCCCATGAATGGCGATAGATTCTTGCTCGGCCTAGTTCCCAAGATGAGTTGAGAGAGGCGAACGAGGCCAGAATGCGGAACGTATAAAACAGGGCTAGTTGGCTGGTTGCACAGAATTTGCATAGCAAACCTGCAAAAAGGCGAGTCGCGAAGAGACTTGTCGCATCTTTTTCAGATCATTGGAGCGAACATTGCGTCGTGCGTCTGCCATCAACAGCAGCGTGAGCCATGCCTGCAGGGTAGACGCTGAGTGGGCCAGGGTTGGAGAAGCGACCCCTGCTCTCTGATAGACTAACCTTCCGATTCGGTAGCATAGGATTTCATCCGCTTGGCCAGGGTAGAGGCGGCGCGCATCCATTCTTGATCGCGCACGTCTCGGAAGAGCTAAAAAGAAAAAGGTATTTTCAACCCCCAAGCTGTAAGTTTATGGCAATGGCCCAGGCCTTTGATGGAACAGTGATTGCCAAGAGAGCATATCGAGGACCACAAAATCAAGCGTGCCTGTGAAAAGCCGGTATATAAGGACACGGGGTTGGTGCGCTTGTCCGTGGGCACGTCGGGAAAGACCCGGCGCGGTACTTGTGCAACGCCTGGAGCACACAAGCATGCCAATGGGACCAAGTATCAGCAAACCAGTGCAATCCGGTGACTTGGTCAGACAAAGAGTCAAGGCATGCTCACCGAGATCGATGCCGTAGAGCTCATCGAGCGCGCCTTCGTAGGTCATTTGCGTGCACATCATGGTTACGAGATCCACCTGAAGATTATGCAAGCAATGAGGCAGAAGGGCGCAAATGAGTTTGTGCGCAGCCGGGGGTACTCGGGGGTCCTCGAATGTGCGCCGCGGATACATGGGATCATACCGAGCGATCAAAGATGACAGCATGGGATATTTCTGGCGTCACCATCGGCGGGCGATCTAGCTCGCGATTGAGGCGCTTGAGGATGCCTGCCACCCGCTGTGGTACACAAGAGCCGGATGTGACACCCGATGGAATGAGGACTGCGCAACTGAGATGAAAATGGCACAACGAGGCAGCAAGGCGTGTGTTGGTAAATTACTTTGCCGGCAGGTCCAAAGGCAGTGACGCGGGGAATGAGTCCATAAATCATCTGGAGGCTCATGATGGACTTGGCCGTCATGAAGAGTGGAGACACGTCTTGTTGGACGTGAAAGTCGTAAAAAGCACTTGGCTCGTCCATGGTCAGCAGGTCGCCGTCCAAGGGGATGAGATTGGCATTCCAGGAGGTAATGCGCTTAATGCTGCCAAGAACGCCATCTTGCTGTGTGGATGGGCACAGTCAAAAATGGGTCGGGTGTGGGGGAAGGGCAGAACGGACAGCAGGTAGAGGGCACACGTGAGTCACGAGGAGTTGTGGCTGCAACACACAAGCGAGCAACAAGGGGGCGCGGGGGGTGGCCGGATGCAGGTCGTACGCGAAGGTGCTCTTCGCATTCCAGGGACTTGGTGGGCAGAAAGACGACGGTAAATTCGGGCGGGTTGCCCCGACTTTCTGATTTGATGATGTTGGCAATCTGCTCGACGATCCGGGGAATGGGCCGCACGATGAAGACGGCCGAGGGCGCACAACCCTCGACCAGCTCTCGGACCGTGGGGTCCATGGGATGAAACGATACAACACCGCGTTGCTGGAAGGCAGGAGCACCGTCCATCATACAAGTCAAGGGCGAACGGCCAAGATCGTGAGGTTCAGAGGGTGGCAATGGACTTGAACGAAGGCGCTGACTCTTGTCGTGGTTGAGTGCCTGCACACACCTTGAGCTCTGAAGCGCCCATAAACTTTTGGATCTTGGCCAGAATGGGTGGATCTAGGTACAGGGACTGAGGCAGGAGCGGACGACCATGATTGAGGACCGGATAGAGACAAGCACATGCATGGGACGATCCATCCCCGGCTTTGAAGACTGGCAGGAAAAGGAGAATCATGTGAGCTCACAATTTCAGGGCCAGCTTCAGCCAAGATGACGGCAAGTTCGTTTTTGATAACGCGGTGCACGTAGGCGAGATTGATGGCACCAGCGCTCAAGTGCGCAAAGGGATTGCGCGCCGGGTTGTTGCCACCGTCCATGTCGCTGGTGACTCGAGGTTAGAGCACGGCGGCAAGGGCGGTGGACTCGAACGTCCAGCAGTTCGGCTATGATGGTGCAGTCAGAAATTTTGGAGGATTTCAACCTGTCGTCAGCACAACAAATGGCAGCCAAGCAGCCCCTTCCTTCCCATGCACAGGCGCGTCACGTTCCCCCTGGCCATCTGCTTGCATCCTGCATCTACAGCAAAACGGTGCCGTACCTGAGCCTCCCTCTGCCACGGAAATCCGATCGCAGGCCAGTTTCCAGTGTCGAGCGCCGCGAGTCGAGCGCCGCGAGTCGAGTGTGTGTGTGTGTGAAGAGATGGAAGAGTGGAAGAGAGTTGCTGCGGGTCAAGGAGGCCGAGCAGAGATTCGGATGGCACCCGAAGTTGCCCAAGCTGGTAAAGCAATGTATTTAAGAGGTGTGGCTTATTTGTGTGTTTATAGCAGAGAGCCTGCGTTGACACAAATCTCTTTGAGAGGTGTCACGAAAGCAAGCACAAAAGACAAAAAAACGTGTTGACAACTGTCGTTGAGACGTGCAATGCTGAATTGTCAGATCATTCACCAGGAGTTTTGATCGAATTTTGATTGAATTTTGATCGAATTTTGATCGAATTTTGGGCGCAACGACCGCACTATGGTGAACGTATCTGCACGTACGTCTGGGTGCTAGATGTGCAAGAGGTACAGACCAACGAATCTTATCTTTGGCAGTACTCTGGTTGGTTGGTCAAGTCGACAGAGGGAGCAAGAGTCGAACGAACGAAGCGGTGGTACACACCTCCTCGGCAGGAAACATCCCAATAGATGTGTTTTTCCGAGTGGGCTTCTTCTTTTTATCTCGCTTGGCTTTCATTTTTGATGTTCATGTTCTTCCTCCATGTTTCTTCCGCCCCGATGTCCTCCCTCGATTTGGCATGAGTGAAACCCAGAGGCGACGACGACACTTTGGCAATTGATGCACCCTGATGGATATAGAATAGTAGCTTGTATGCGGCGAAAATGGCCCTGACACCTCGCTGTCGTGTGAACATTTGGATATCTGAACATCAAGGCCACGACTGGCACAGCATGCTGTCGATCAATCATGATGGCGGTTCGAGTTGATAAAACGCTTCATCATCAGCCTCACGATCTGATCTCATGCTTGACTTTTGCGTGGGAATGAACATGAACATCTCGACTCAAAAGTGCGCGGTCGCGCGTGTACGAGAGCTTTACACACAGAGAGAGGGGGAGAGAGAGAGAGAGAGGGAGAGAGAGAGGGAGAGAGAGAGGGAGAGAGAGAGGGAGAGAGAGAGGGAGAGAGAGAGAGAGGGAGAGAGAGAGAGAGAGAGAGAGAGAGAGAGAGCACTGTATGTGCATGCATGCAACATTGTGCATCTTGTATGATGCCGCTGGATGTCATTGTCGGCTCCATGCATGAGGCGTGACGCGCTGACGCTGAACGAGAGTGTGGTGGAGGTGACTAAGGTTTGGCTTGAGGAGCCGGCAAACAATGCAGTTGGATTCATCGGCAACACACGCAAAGCGTGAGAGCAAAGACCGACAGGCTGACATGGGCCATCCTCATCACATCCTCGCACCCAATTGATGCACTCATACATGAGATCAAAAGAGCCAACCAAGAGTGCAGCCACTCCCTCACACTCACACACACACACACTCTCACACACAACAGCACGCGTTAGTTCCCTTTCGACAAACTTCACCAGGACAACGCCGGCTCACGGAAAAGAGTTGCTGGGTGACGGCCGCCGTTTGGGTCATTTAACAATAAGATCACGACCCCACACGGTTCCGGCTACCCCGCGACTTGGCCTTTCGATCCCTTTGCCCCCGAGCGGCTCATTGGAGACCAGCGGGCACACGGCTCAACCGTTGGACGCACGAGGCCGTTTGACGCGACGTGGGCACCAAGCAGAAACACAGAATAAAACACCAAAGGCCCCCTTCCCCTCAACCGATGCGACACAGAGAGAGGAGTCTCCAGTTTGCACTCAAGCCTGGACTGCAGCGCATCAACCTGACGATCGTTTAGTCCGCAGACTTTCGCGGCTAGGCAACGCTGCCGTTTGTCCTCACGACCCACGCGCAGCCGTTGTGACCACTGTTTTTTTTTTTGGGGTGCCTCTCATCGTCACCTTTTCCATTTTGTGATATACCCTGGACCACCCGTCGGGTGGCCAGCCCACCGCTCACCCTTCTTGATCCAGCCCACCACCTCCTCGGCGACTCCCACCTGTGCTTCTTGGGGCGCTGTCAAGGCAACCCCACCCTTTCCTACCCTCGAGGTGAAAAGAGCTGGTTTGGCGACCCTCCCTTCTCCACCTCTCGCTGGCCCAGCCCGTGGACGTGCATTTCAACGGCCAACCGTCGTCGCCGCCACCGCCCAGAGCGCGTGTGTCGCACTCGCCGCCGCCGCCGCCGCTACTACTGCCGCTGCCACTTTTTCCCTTCTTCCCTTTCGTCGTCCAACGAGCTGGACCCATTGATGCCAACTTGCATTTCTCTGAATTGACCCGACTGCGCGCGCCAGCTTCCATCTGCGTGCGCTCGCGCTCGGATTCGACCAAAGACATTAAGGGTTCTTCTTTCTGGCCTTTCCCTTCTTTGCGCCCTCTACCCAACTTTTCAACCCCAGCATGGCGTGCGTTCCACCGGAGCAGCTCGTGGGGCCGCTCGACGCAAACTTTAGCTGCCCCGTGTGCCTCGACTGCATTCGCGAACCCATCATGTGTACCCGCTGCCAGTGCCTCTTTGGCGAGTGCTGCTGGCTCCAGGCCATGGACGCTCAAAACGCCTGTCCACATTGCCGTCAATCACCAGCCGTTGGCGTGCCCCTTCGCCCCTTTAAGAACATTTTGGCTCAACTGCCCACACGCTGTGCTCATCCAGGCTGCCAAGCCCAAACCCGCCTCGAGGACCTGCACCAGCACGAAGCTGCTTGCCCCTTCAACATGGTGGCCTGTCCGGCCTGCGCCCAAGTCGTGCGCGCTCCCGACCTGGCCCAGCACGTGAATGCCTGCAGCTTTCACCTGGCTCCTGGCCTCGTGCTTGTGGCCACTCAAGGCCAACCCCTTGGCATGGCTGTACAGGTGAGCACCTGGTGTATGTCGGCCGCAAACTGAACAGCCATCTCGCCCAGCATCAATTTTATCTCATCTTGTGACTGGAACTGTGCAAACGACTTTGTTAGACTTTGGGACGGGACGTCTTTGTTGGCGAGGTCTTTGACGGCTCTCTCGCTGCGCAGGCTGGACTGGTCGAAGGTCACCAAATTCTCCAGGTGTGTAGCCTTTGATCCAATCGCACCAGTCCCCTGCTTTGTCGGCTCGTGTCGGACCGTACCCTCAAGTGAAGGCTCACGTGCTATGTGCGTGTGTGTGTGCGTGTGTGTGTGTGTGCGTGTGTGTTTGCGCCATGTGGCTGTCCACCTCTTGACTCTTGACAACGCCACAGATCAATAATGAACCAATCGAGTCTTGGGGACATGGCCAGCTGGTGATGGCACTCAAGTCAGAGCTGATCCTGCTCCTGCAGGTCGAGATTCCCCTCCAAGTGCAGCCGAGCCATGTCACACTATGGTCGACCGATAGTTCCCCACACCGCCTTTGGGTACGACATGCCAAGCCGGGGGGTTTTCTGTTCCGTTGTTGGTCCCGTACTCTTTCAATTTTACTCAACTCGTGTCTTGCGCGTCTTTGCTTTGCGTGCCTTTGCTTTGCCGCAGCGTGGCCCCGATGCCGCACCTGTGTCGCCGGAGAACGAGTTGGCAACCCGCTTGAGGCGGGGCCTGCGCGCGCCACGCCTGAACCAGCGTCAACTTGCGATGGGCGTCATGTCTCCTTCCTTCGCCCCCTCATGGGATAGCGGGATTGTCGAGGAGCTGAATGTGGACTGGCCCGATCTTGATTCCGAATCAACGTCGCCGCCTACGGTGCGCCGGCCGGAGAGTGGGAACGGTTTCAGGAGGGCTGGGTCCGTTAGTCCAGAACGTAGCGGTACCCTTGAGGACGTTTATCACACGCGGAGCTTGGCTCAGCGGGCGGCGCTACGTCGAGTGGTAGACGGGTCTCTAACGGGAGACAGCGTCACGCCTTCCTTCCACGACGTGACGCTTTTGCGCGGTAGCTCGGGGCAGCTCGGACTTCGTTTGATTTCATTCAAGGGATTGGCAATGGTAGGTGCCATGTTCTTTCGCGTTGCCTTTTTTTTTTCACTTTTTTTTCTTGTCAACTCTGAAGGCTTGCACATTGCACATTTGCTCCTGCTGCTCATGCCTGTGTGCTCGACGGCTTTAGATTGACCATGTGGCCGAGGACAGCCCGAATCGCTACATTCCAACGCTGCAACGCGACTTGGTGGTGGTCGAGGTGGATGGACAGCCGTGTCGCAGTCTGGAGGCTGCTCTGTCATACCTCGCACCCCATCTTCATGCGCCAAGCACTTGCGTTGTTCGCCTGGTGCACAAGTTTGACGTGGTCAATTACCTTCGTGCCACCTCTGAAGTCAACTAGCCCCGACCGATGTGTGTTTTTTTCAGCCACACGACCCACGAGGGTCATGATTTGCTCTTCAATGTGCCATCAATGTTTGCTCTCTGACAGAAAAATTTGTTGTCCCACTTGTCGCTCGATCCGCCCCGTTCAAGGCGTTCTATGAGAGAAAGAAGTCTTTATTTTTTTTTGCCGTAACAGAAAAGCTTCGTGCTGTTCCTGATGTTTAATAATCTCCAGTATATTGGGCCTGCGGTCTTGAGAGCTATGCCACTTGTTCCTTTCGAGCAGCTCGCCCCGGCCCGACCTGATCCAGCCTTTAATCGATTCCCTACATATCATTGGATTTTATTCTTGAGTGTTGTGTGTGAATGTGAGAGCGTGAGAGCGTGAGGGAGAGAGAGTGAGAGTGAGTGTGGGTGAGTGTGAGTGAGTGAGAGTGGGTGAGAGTGAGATCCAGTGAGATCGAGTGAGAGTGAGATCGGGTGAGCGAGTGCGTGCTAGAGAAAGACTGAAAGCTGGTGATTAATCGAGAAGAGAGAGAGAAAAGAGAGAGAAAAGAGAGAGGGACAGAAAAAAGAGAACACACACACACACACACACACACACACACACACACACACACACATATTCGCATTTACACCTAAAATTTGAAATCAAAACGAGCGATCTCGAGAGAGAGAGAGAGAGAGAGAGAGAGAGAGAGAGAGAGAGAGAGAGAGAGAGAGAGAGAGAGAGAGAGAGGGAGGGCGGAGGGGTCTTGTGTATCGTGGGCGGGTCGATTCTTGGTGCGCTTGTTGGGGTGGGGAAACAGGGCGGGGGTTGGGGGTGGAAGGAGAACAGAGGCGGGAAGGAGAACAGAGGCGGGAAGGAACTTGGGGGTATGGATGCGCAGGCCAATCCGTTGGAGCAGGCATCCTGGCATGCGGCGGTGTCGCAGCGGGTCATGTCGCCGGCTGCGCGCCCGCCGTCGGCTCGAACCCCCAGGTCTGCACCGTCGGCGTCCCAGTCGACGGCCGATGCCATGGCCGAGGCACTGGCTAGCTCAGAGCACGAGGTGCTTCGAGATCAGCCTGTAGTCAAGACCCTGCATGTCTACCATGGCAAAGCTCACCGCTCCCGTACGTGACTGCCCTGAAGTTGCGACATCGCCAACTCCAACTTGGCTTCTGATCTCACGCTCTCGGTGCATGTGCTATATCAGCTCCGGACCACGACCTTGAGCGCAATGGCATCCTTCATCTTCACGGTGTGCTGCACGTCTTCACCACCAATGTCGACCACCCCGTTCCCTTCAGTCTGCCGGCCTCACTTCTCGCAACGCTCTTTGCCCCCTTCACAGTTGGACGCGCTAAAGACCTGCAGCCCAAGGACAGCAACGGTCTGGCCGACCCCTTTGTCCGCATCATGTTCGATGCCATCACCATTGCAGATACCGCCATCAAAGTCAGCCCCACCACTTACCTTTGCTTGCTCCTCGACTCAAAATCTGGGGTCCCAACACTTTTTTTTTTTTTTTTTCACCGCAAACCGCCCTTCATTCCATGCAGGCGCGCACACTGCACCCCGTCTGGGAAGAGGATTTTGAAATCCATTGGTATGCTCCCTTTGAACCCTCCTACTTGATTCTCGTACTCCTCGATCAGGTAGGTATGCAGCACCCAGGTTTCTTTGTCGCCCGTTTCGCACCAGTTTGCGCCACCTCGCACCACCTCGCAGGCAGCCTTATTGTTATGGTGTTTCAACTGTGCCCTTGACCAAGGATCACATTGCTCAAGATTTCATGGGGGAGCTCTATCTGCCGCTGGCCGCTGAAGCGAAGGCGCGCTACTCGGATTGGTTCAGCCTCGGCCGAAGTAAGGGCTTCGTCACCTTGTCTGCCTTCTCTGTCACCGTGCAAAGGGTCCTTGTCGACCATGTTGTGCGTATCATACACACGATATACCACTGCTCATGGTGATGCTCGTGCCTCGGCCGCCGGTGTCATAGACATCAAGCGAGAAATTGTTCGAGGCCAAATTTACATTGAATCAACCTTCACCAACGCCCACGCCCTCTCTACCGCTCGTATGTACCGCCCCCGGACTGTGCTGATTGTGGCGGGCTGTGATATTGCCTCGCGCCTTTCTTTGGTTTTCCTCATCCACATCTTTTGGGTTTGACCTATTTAATGTGCCGCTTCGCATCGCAGATGCCAGCGAGTTGCGTGCTTATTGTCAGGCCAACAACCTCAACGTCCCCGTGCTACACGACCCAGCTCGCGAGGCTGAACGCAAGCGCACCTACCGATCTCGCATGGCTTTAGCTCTTCGTGATCGCCTTGATTCCTCTTCCGATTCAGCAGAGAGCCCCCCGGGATCCCCCATGGCACAACCCGCTCCTGTTTCCTCAACGTCATCGCCAACCCCAAGCGCTTCATTTCCAAGCGAACCTATCATTGGCAGCTTTCCCGATGAGACCGAGCGCCCAGAGATGTGTCTCAAGACGGTGGCCATCTCTTGTGGTCACACCCGCGCCTTTGGCTCATTGTACATTACCAATTACCGCCTGATTGTCGTGGCACCGGCTCTGTGCTACGATGACGACGCCGGAAAAAGCTCCGTATCATCCACTCCCAGCATCTTGGCTGACCTTGCCGCCTCAGCTGGCCGCGATTCACCATCCGTACCCACACCCAACGTCAAGACGTTTAGCATGTCCATCCCACATGGCCTGTTGGCAGCGGCCATCGTCGATGCCGTGAGCCGAACACACTACGCCGCGCAGCCCACAGACGATCATCTTAAGCTTCCGGCCCGCAGTCAGATTCAAGATTCGCTCCGGGCTGTCACCTCACCTCGTCGCCTCATGCACACCCTCCGAAGCAACGCCGCCAACACCAAAGGCAAAAGCAAACCCGAGACACATGATCCCGAGGTTGCTGCCAGCGGCATTGACGACGATGCCAATTCAGAAACCTCTGTGGTTTCCGAAAACGGTGAGGATCCAGGCTCGGTCAACGTAGACGCCTCAGCCGCAGAGAACCGGCAAAGACAAGGCCAAAGAGAAGGGGGGGGGGGCTGTCGTTTGCTATCCAAAGCGCGATTCTGCACCTCAAACCGCGCGTTTTTTTGTGGGGGTCGCTAGATCGTAAACCAACCAAACGTCAGGAGCGCCAAGCCCAGTCAACCACGGTGGTGGTGACCATCACATGCCGCGACGCGCGCACCGTGCGCATCGCGTTTCCCGGTGCCACTGGCTCGGCCTATGTCCAGTCACAACGTACGTGAGATAAAGCCTGCCGCTCAAGGTGAATAACAAACTATACTGATTTCTTCTAGCGTTTATGCTTCACGCCATTGATGCTTGGTCAACGTTAGGCATGGCCCAAACCTTGGCAGCGCGTATCGAGCACTTGATCGCCAATTGCACCTCCCACCGCGCCGCTGACATGTACGGCGGAGGTGGCCGGCCTGAGGACTGGAGCCGTTATGACCCCATGGCTGAAATGCGCCGTCAAGTACGTCGACGCGAGTCGGCACATGTGCAGGATGATGCTCTCGACACACGGCGTCATACACTCATGTCTCGGCAAATTGCAGGGGCTAGTATTTGAAGAAGACGTGTTTTCAGGAAGCCTCTCGGCCTGGATGAAGAGGTACGTGGCCATCGTGACATGTTTTTTTTTTTGTGTCAGCGAAAACTATGCCTCGAGTCCATGGTGGGCTCGCAGCCAGGCTGCACACTCACCTTTGACTCTTCTGTGTTTGCAGCGATCTTAACCGTGACTATGAGCTATGCCCCACGTATCCACCCATCCTATTTTTGCCACGCATGGTCTCCGAGTCTGTGATTCGGGGAAGCGCAGCGTTTCGGTCCAAGCAGCGATTGCCAGTATTGACCTGGTACTCGGACCGTGGAGGTCGCCGGCGTTCCATCGTTCGGTGCGCCTCACCCCTTTCTCCTTGCACATCAATCAAGCGAGCCACATTCGTGCTCTGTTGATTGTCCTTTTCTCATGCTTTTCCGTGTTTTTCCTTTCTTTTTCCATGTCGCTGTCGTTGGTGCACCTGGATGGCGGTTGTCACGTATCAGATGTGCGCAACCATTGGTGGGTGTGCGCTCGAAGCGCTCTATGGAGGATGAGGACATGGTTGCAGCATTACGTGCATGTGCCTCAAACAGTGATCAAATTGCCGTGTTTGACGCGCGTTCCATGATTGCTGCCGGTGGCAATCAAATCATGGGCAAAGGGTCGGAAAACTCGGCATTCTACGTCGGTGCTCAGGTGAGCAAGCACGGTCCAGGGCGACGCTATCCCAGATCATGCATGCTGAGCAAGGGCTCGGTGCTTTGGCGACTTGATGTGAGCACGCGGAGTTATACGCTGTTCCTGCTGCAAGCTGATGTGAACCATCAATCGTGACTTTTGGGCTTAGGTCTTCTTCATGGAGATTGGCAACATTCACACTATGCGCGCAAGCCACGACAAACTGCTGGAGCTGTGCATTGGTGTGAGTGACGTGCAGTGGTACAGTCAGCTCGAAAACACCGGCTGGCTCTCCCACATCAAGGCAGTGCTGAGCGCAGCCCGCGCTATTGCACGCAAGGTGAGTTGAAGCAGTAGGAAGAACTTCTGCGCCTTGAGTCCACGTACTGCTTGCTTGAATCCGTTCCATTTTCTCCATGATTCAATCCATCTTCTGAATAGGTGGAGAATTTGGCGATTACGGCGCTTGTGCATTGCAGCGATGGCTGGGATCGAACGTCGCAACTCGTTTCGCTTGCGCAGATCATGTTGGATCCCTATTTTCGTACCATTGACGGGTTGATCGTGGTGATTGAAAAGGATTGGCTTGCCTTTGGGCACAAATTTGACGAGCGGCATGGTGGCGCCGACAGTGTGACGGAGCGTTCTCCAATCTTTTTGCAGTTTCTTGATTGCCTCTACCAGATGACTGTCCAGCATCCGACAGCCTTTGAGTACAACAGCCGCTTGCTCGTCTTTCTGGCTGACTACAGTCGGGCTGGCTGGTTCGGAAACTTCCAGTGCAATTCACACCGAGAGCGGCGTGCGCGACGTTTAAGCCAAACGACGACGTCCATCTGGTCTGCCGTGGAAGCCGATCGTCCTCGTTTTACTTCAAGTCAATATGCTCCAGGCGGGTCGGACGTCATCATGCCCACTTGCTCGTATGTGGCTTGCCTGCGAAGATATCCAAAGACTTGTGGCACAAACAAGGGCTGACCCGTCTCACCGTGGAATTGTGGACTCCCTTCTTGGCCGCGTGGTATGGTGCCGTGCCGCTTTGCGTGTTATGAAACAGGCTGAAACGGATTGAGTTGTGGTCGGACTACTTTCTTCGCTACGACGCCAGTGTCGAGGCGAACATTAACGACGATGAGGATGAAGAGGATGTGCGTGCCTATCGTCGAATTTGACAGTGCGACGGATGGGCCAACGACTCACCATCGGTTGTGCTTTTAGGAATTTGAAACAGTAATTTGGGTGCACGACGCGGACGTGTCGAATTGTCATGGATGTGGCCTGCCTTTTACCATACTTCGGCGCAAGTGCGTTTGTACAAAACCATTTGGTTCAGGAATGCGAAGTTGCGCCTGTGGGTTTTTCACGCGGTGCTCCGCAATCGCTTGGACTGCGTCTGGTGTAGGCATCATTGTCGTGCATGTGGCAACGTGTATTGCGGTTCCTGTTCTCAGCGGCGCCTGGCCTTGCCCCAGTACGGGTTTCAGGAAGAACAACGGGTATGACAAGCCACAGCCTGGGGAGCCTGTGTCAGTCTCATCTTGCAGACACCTCACCTTGCCGGCATGTCATCATTAGGTGTGTGAAACGTGCCACGATCGGTGGCGGCGCCGCACAGAAAAAAAGGCGTCGCAGCTTCTAATGCAGACGGTCGCGGAAGATGATTTGTTTGAACATCCACAGTCCCGAGCGTGAGGTGCGGATGACCGCAGCACCTGAAGGTCGACCCTTGAGGCTGAGGCGGATGCAGTGGTAATTGGGGTCCCTGAAAGACCCACGAGCGTGGGCGGAGAGGGTTCAGGGGCGTGAAAGTGAGAGATTGAGAAGATATGAGTGAGGTATGCGATCACGGATGCTATAAGTGACCATCGGCGAATTGACAAGTCGGGACAAGCGGAGATAATCATAATAAATGTTTCTTTCTTTTGAATTCATGGGAGAGTGGGCGAAGAGTGGGAAAATAGAAAGGCCATGGCTCGGTGGCACGCGTAATAGGGGGGGCAGTGGTGCAAGCACACACACACATGATGGCGATCAAACAAACGCAAGCAAAAAAGACGACACAAACCAAGGTGTGAATAACATTAAGGAGACAGACAGGGCGGTTGATCGCACACAGACACACAGAGAAACACAAGCGTTGCTGCAGAACATGTTGGCATGCGCGTTGAGTTGAAAAGAGTCTTCAAGGTATGAACAGCATGGCACAACAAAAGAACGAGCAAACAAAGTAAAAACGCCAGGCGTAAAGGGCCAGCAATTCAGGCACGCCCGCTGATCTTACACGACATGTCCAGGGGGAACAGGAAAGGGAAACAAGTTAATCAACAGACCAACAGCACATTGACACATGCACGCACAAAAAGAGGGGTGACGCAAAGCCATGAGGAGCAAGGGAGAAATAAGTGACGAAAACAAAAAGGCCACGCGGAGGGTGTGGGGCATCTTTAGCCCCACCACCCGGTACAAGACACCAAGGGGACAGGCGGAGCCAGAGGTGGGTCACGGTGGCCATTAAAATAGGTTGTAGTCTTTGAGATGGATCCGTAATAGAGTGCTTCGAACGGCATTGAAGACGAATTGGATATTAGAGGTGTCTGTGGCCATGGTAAAATGCGTGTAGAGGTCCTTGCCCGCAGGCTTCCGCGAGCGGTACATTGTTTCGATAAACTTTTTAATGTTCTCATAATCACCCTACCAGACGGTCAAGGGCGAAAAGGGGGTATGAGGCCAGAGCAGGATGGTCGGCGCGCACCTTGTCCAAAGCGAGCAGTGTTATAAACATTGCAAACAAGCAATAGGACAAAAATGGGAAACGAAATGCGCAGGGGTCAAGGCATGGTACGGCACCTCTTGGCCTGTGTAGTCGGGGAAGAAGGGCTTGATGGGGTGAGTCTTGACCTTTTCTTCGAGCAGATCTTGTTTGTTCAGGAAAAGGATGAAGCTACTGTTGGCAAACCTATTGCAAGTAGACATGGGAGTTTGAAAGGCGTTGCATGAGGTAGAGCGACTCTTTGGACAGCTCTAGAGGGGATGCGAGCGTGAACTGACCAGTGGTACTGGATGATCTGGCCAAAGAGGGCGAGGGATTCTTGCATGCGGTTGACATTGGTATCCTCCGCAAGGACTTGATCATACTCGTTGCAAGCGGCAATGAATATAATAGAGGTTACGCCCTACGAAAACGAAAACGAGTGGTTGACCGCGAAGTTCCCAGCACGGGAGAGAGAGGGCGAGAGAGCTTTGAGAGGGGCGAAAAAAAAGGGGGGGGGGAGCTGGCGGATAGACTGCACGTGGCGTGGGCATGTGCGTGAGCATCAAGTACCTCAAAAGAGTGGATCCATTTGCGGCGTTCGGAGCGCTGGCCTCCGACATCCATCATGCGGAAGACAACCGAGTCGAGATCAAACTCAAACTCGTGGATGCCGGTGGTGGCTTGACGGGAGCGGAGGACATCGTCAACGGTGGGTATGTAGTCGGCAGCGGCCACGGCATCGAGGCGATTGTAGTAGTAGGCGGTTGAGTCGGAGAGCTGGTATTCGTTGCGCCGTTGAAAGACCTGTTGAATGCCGTTGTCGTTCCACAGCTTCTTGAGCAGGGGGTAGTATGGCTCGATGGCGTCGACGGTGTTGACATCCACATCGAGTTTGTCGTAAGCATCCTCTTCCAAGCTGGAGTCGGCGAGTTGAAGGCTGAGTTGGTCGAGGGCATCAAGCATGCGCTTCATGGAAGTGATGATGTTGCGATAGACGAGGGGTTTGTAGGCTAGGCGATCGGATTCGTTAAAGCCTTGACCGTAGATGATGCGCATCTGTTTGATGATGGTAGATTTGCCGCTCTCGCCCGTGCCCAGGAGTAGAATTTTGTATTCGCGCTGTTTGCTCATGCGCTCCTTGCGCAACTGGCGGTCAATGGCCAGTGAGCGCCGCCGCGTCTCGTCTGGGGGACCGCACGGCATGTTGGCAGATGCTTTTCTGGTGAGTGCGGTCGGGGTTTGCACAGGCAGTGCAGAGCGGCTGTTCCAGAACTGAGGGGGTGGGGGGCGAGGGCCAGAGGCGGTGCTGCAAAGTTGTTGCGTGCGTGGGCACTGATTGACGGGAGGCTTTACGCGTTTCTTTTGCCCCAGTCAGGCCGACTCGATGTCCAAAAGCAGCCAGTAGACGAGCGCACGCGCCAGCCAGCCAGACGGGGTAGAAAGGAAGGAGCGGGACCGGTTGAAAAGAAAAGCGAGCGCGGGACAAAGAGATGGCAGGGTGGCGAGGGAGAGAGAAAAAAAGGGAGAGAGGGAGGGAGAGGGGGAGCGAGGGGTGTACAGAGAGGAAGAAGAAGAAGAAGAAGAAGAAGGGACTGGATGCACAGGGTGTTCAGAGCGGGGGTGGACTCGCCAACGACCCCGAGCCAGATCGAGCAAGCGGCGCACGAATCAGACGTCTGTGTGTGGGTGTGTGTGAATCAACAAGTAGTGGGTGGATGGCTGGCAACTGAGTGTGAGTGTGAGGCGAGGTGGGAGTGAGATGGTCCTTTGCACGGCCAGAGCCGGGTGTGATGGCTCTTGGACAGCACCACAAAACCGAGGCAACCGCAGCGTCAAATGGATCCCCCGGCCACTGTCACTGCCACCGCCGCCGTTTGAGACAAGAATATGTAGCGAGAGAGAGAGAA